CATCGATCGACCGACGTCTTGCGGCGCCTCCATTAGCTTGCGGTGTAATGGTTAGCGCACACAGGACGTGCGATCCACAACTCGACGGTTCAATTCCAACCCCTCCCCCTCCCGGCATTGCAGTTGAAAAAGCCGGTGCATGTTTTTTCAATATCCCCTTCCCACCCCCCAACTCTGTCCACGCAGCAATATGAGATTGTGTACAAAGCAGGCGGTCAGCAGGCCCCATGTGTTGGGGTCAAGTGTGAGCTCTTTCAGTTCTTTCAAGATGAATTAAACTAAACTGCAACATTTTTTTTTATTTTACTAGATAAGGCCCAGCGAGCTGTATACAGTGAGGGAAAAAAAGTATTTGATCCCCTGCTGATTTTGTACGTTTGCCCACTGACAAAGAAATGATCAGCCTATAATTTTAATGGTAGGTTTATTTGAACAGTGAGAGACAGAATAACAACAAAAAAATCCAGAAAAACGCACGTCAAAAATGTTATGAATTGATTTGCATTTTAATGAGGGAAATAAGTATTTGACCCCCTCTCAATCAGAAAGATTTCTGGCTCCCAAGTGTTTTTTATACAGGTAACGAGCTGAGATTAGGAGCACACTCTTAAAGGGTGTGCTCCTAATCTCAGCTTGTTACCTGTATAAAAGACACCTGTCCACAGAAGCAATCAATTAATCAGATTCCAAACTCTCCACCATGGTCAAGACCAAAGAGCTCTCCAAGGATGTCAGGGACAAGATTGTAGACCTACACAAGGCTGGAATGGGCTACAAGACCATTGCCAAGCAGCTTGGTGAGAAGGTGACAACAGTTGGTGCGATTATTCGCAAATGGAAGAAACACAAAATAATTGTCAATCTCCCTCGGCCTGGGGCTCCATGCACGATCTCACCTCGTGGAGTTGCAATAATCATGAGAACGGTGAGGAATCAGCCCAGAACTACACGGGAGGATCTTGTCAAAGATCTCAAGGCAGCTGGGACCATAGTCACCAAGAAAACAATTGGTAACACACTACGCCGTGAAGGACTGAAATTCTTCAGCGCCCGCAAGGTCCCCTTGCTCAAGAAAGCACATATACATGCCCGTCTGAATTTTGCCAATGAACATCTGATTCAGAGGACAACTGGGTGAAAGTGTTGTGGTCAGATGAGACCAAAATGGAGCTCTTTGGCATCAACTCAACTCGCCGTGTTTGGAGGAGGAGGAATACTGCCTATGACCCCAAGAACACCAACTCCACCGTCAAACATGGAGGTGGAAACATTATGCTTTGAGGGTGTTTTTCTGCTAAGGGGACAGGACAACTTCACCGCATCAAAGGGACGATGGACGGGGCCATGTACCGTCAAATCTTGGGTGAGAACCTCCTTCCCTCAGCCATAGCATTGAAAATGGGTCGTGGATGTGTATTCCAGCATGACAATGACCCAAAACACACGGCCAAGGCAACAAGGGAATGGCTCAAGAAGAAGTATATTAAGGTCCTGGAGTGGCCTAGCCAGTCTCCAGACCTTAATCCCATAGAAAATCTGTGGAGGGAGCTAAAGGTTCGAGTTGCCAAACGTCAGCCTCGAAACCTTAATGACTTGGAGAAGATCTGCAAAGAGGAGTGGGACAAAATCCCCCCTGAGATGTGTGCAAACCTGGTGGCCAACTACAAGAAACGTCTGACTACTCTGATTGCCAACAAGGGTTTTGCCACCAAGTACGAAGTCATGTTTTGCAGAGGGGTCAAATACTTATTTCCCTCATTAAAATGAAATCAATTTATAACATTTTCGACATGCGTTTTTACGGATTTTGTTGTTATTTTGTCTCTCACTGTTCAAATAAACCTACCATTAAAATTATAGACTGATCATTTCTTTGTCAGTGGGCAAACATACAAAATCAGCAGGGGATCAAATACTTTTTTCCCTCGCTGTATCTCTTTTTCAGAAGTGATCTGGCCACTTAGCTCAACAAAGTGGCTTATCATCACGTGGATTTTATGGCAGCTAAATGCTCGTGAACGCATGTAGATGCTAAATGTGGAGGGAAAAAAACGGAGGACCAGGAGAAAAATCCACGCAACAACGGGGAGAGAGACAAGCAAACTCAAAATGTATACCAGGCGCCAGGGTTCGGGATCGAACACACGACCTCCTGTATACCAGGTGAGGTAGTGAACACCTCGCCACCATTGGCACCCCTTGGTCAGCGTAGAAGAGGAGGCACAGATGCCCTCGAGAGCTCCCTCTAGTGGACGCCCTTTCTGCCAGCGGTGGCATGAGCGAACAATTGTAGAGTTGAACCTTTACCATTTTTTGTACCTTTTACCTTTTTTACCTTCAGCTCTTTTACATGAACCTCCATTGGCTCCACTCTGGACGGCGTAATGCGGAGGTCGCTGGTCCGATTCGATCTCCCAGCGCGGCACATAAAACAATTGGCGCGCCTCCGTCCGCCCAACTTAGACCATCCTCCTCGAACCGGCTTCACGAACTGGCTCCGCTGTGTTGCTCGAGGTGGGCCAGGCAGAATCGCGCTCCGTTGAGACGGTCAACACAACCACCGCAGCAGCAGCGTAGAGCGCTAATACGCCTTGCCGCAGGCGGTCGGTCGGTCGGCCGGGCCGACCGGCCGGCCGGCCGGCGCCTCCGCCCCCGATGCGAGGAATCGATAGTTCAGCAATTATAAATTCTCGCTCCGCCTCTGCTCTGCGACGGGCTGCCCCATTAGCGGGGCCCTCGTGACACGGTCGCCGCTTTGCCCTGCCAACGCTCGCGCGCCCGGCCGCCGTGCGAATAGAGGAAAATCCGTCCGCTCCGAGCTTGGCGCAAGGCAAAGGAGCCGCCGCCTGTCGCGGCCCTGTGTCTGTCCCCTTGGCTCTGATCTCGGCCGAACAAAAGGGGTTGTCTTTGCGGTTTTGTGCTGCACGCGGCTGCGAAGGGGATCCGTGGCTTGGTGGGGTTTGCTCGACCGCGCAGTAGCGATGCCGTCGTCGAGTGTGCAGGCGGTGCAGCCGCATGGCTGATTATGGTTCGTAACTGTTGCTACTTGCAACGCGGATGGGCTCTATGTGGTGAATCAAATCTCGCGTAGACTTTCACAGAGGTTTGCCCAGCCAATATGAAGGCTTGATATTTTGACGAATGCTTACGCAAACGCAACAAGCGTGCATGAATAAAATTGAGACAATTATCTTGAATATCGCCGTTGAACCTAGAATCTTGGTGGCTACCCATTTGGAAAATTATTTTGGCTCCAGCCTATTTGCAGGAGGGGGCGGCGGGTGGGGGGGGGGTTAGGGCGGCGGGGGGGGGTTAGGGCGGCGGGGGGGGGGGGTTACGGCGGTGGGGGGGGGGGTTAGGGCGGTGGGGGGGGTTAGGGCGGTGGGGGGGGGGGCAGCGAGGGGGTGGGGGGATATTTTTGTGAGTTGAACAGCAGCCAACGGATGCCCTTAGCAGATCAGCTGCCTCCAATTCATGGAAAATTTGGGCTCCTGGTTTTGTCAATTATTTCATCTAAGTGGCTCCGACATGTCCTCTACAGCCGTCTGTGAAACATCAATTTTGTTTTGCTGATGTGCAGGTCAGGGGCTTGTTTACACAGTACGCAGTAATTGTGTCTGGTTGTTAGCAGCGTATCAGAAATTGTGCCCTGCATGCAGAGTGGTCAGGGACTAGGGTTGCCCGCGAGTGCCTGCCTGTGTACGTATGGGAGCGCCAACCCGAGTTCGATTCCCGCTCTCACGGCCAACATCGGTGACAAATATCTGATTTGGTTCTGGGGCCTCCCCTTAGGTCGGCTCAGCCTTAAATGTAACCATCAGCACTGGGGAGACAAAGGTGGCCAGGCGTTGTTTCGTCCATCCGACTCCTCGTGTGTTGTGCCTGCCTTCATATGCGCTCACTAGCGGGCACTTACCCTAACAGTCCGTTAAAGGCTATACGGGGGAATCTCCGGGTCTTAGGTAAAATAAACAAAATAGTTTTAAGTAGGATGGTCTCCTTTGAAAGAATGCCTTGACGAACTGAGGCTGTACGCGCACGTCATGGTTAGAAAAAGCGGGGTTTTGCGTGCAGTCAGGAATTGTGAAGAGCTGCTGCAATGTTTTGAAGTAGGCGGCGAACTGTACACGGGCGTCGCCACCTGGTTCATCGCTGGCGGATTCGCCGTGCCGATTGGTTCGGAGCGAACGGGCTGCGTCTACGAAAGAGAGCACGAGTCTGTCCCACTAAACGGATAATTCGTGAAATGCCTACGTGCCCGCTTTGTGGAGTGCGCCTAAGAATAACGTGCGGCCGTTGATCCGTCGAATGCGTGGGGCCCAGAGTTTTTGTGAAGGAGTCGGAGTCGGTATGTCCATGTGGGTTTTCACGTTCGTGCTGAACAGCTATCCGATGTTTTATTTTTTGGTCGTACCGTGTGTTGTTTTGGCACGACGTCCGACGTTTCGCTCCACGTGCGAGAGTTGGCGCTCATACTTTTTCAACCTTCGTATTCCTCCACAGTTCATACAACCGGGACGTACGTTTGTTCAAGTTTCATGTCGGTACGGGCAGCATTTTGCCTAAGCGTGTTTATCCCAAGGCGCACACAGCATACTGCACAAAGTGCATGAGTTTCGGTAACATCGCCTTTGTGAACAAAGTTGCAGGATGGTTGTAGTGGTACAGACATGGTGACATGTATGTATGTTGAACTTCCCCCCTCACCGTACGTAGCCAACCGTGCTAATCGGGAGTGCGGGGAAGGAAAACAAACTAAACACAAACAGCACTTCTAAAGAAATGAGTTTGAAATCTGGATTTTATAATGCATAGCTCCAGTGACTTTCTAATATCAGAAGGAAGTACGTTCCAGATTACCGCGGAAGTGCATCTGAAAGCGCACGATGTAATGACCATCTTTGTTCGATGGCCGGCCAAAAGCCGCAGCTGCGAGGATGGCCCGGAGTTCACGTGATGATGGTTTAACGTTGTCCATGGCGACGTGCTGCTGTCTGTAGGTTCTGCTACTGGAGGAGATGGAACGACTCCGGGACAAAGTCCGAGATCAGGAGATGATGATCGAGCGACTGCAGGTGGAGCTGGTGAGTGCCGCGCATCGATTTGACTCCTCTCAAACGTATGTTCCTACTTCAGCAGGTGGGCATCCTCCGAGATGCATCCTCACACATTTTCGCAGTTGATCTCATAAGAAAAATATCTGTAAGTTACATAACACGAGCGGGTTTCACATACAGTTGTCCGACACGTTTCCAGGTTCAGCCGATTGTTGTTCAGCCCAAGGTCCGACGTTTCGCTTCACAAGCCGGATGCTTCTTCAGGAGCCTAAGTAGAGGGACGGAGTTTCCTGAAGAAGCTTCCGCAAAATTGGAGCGAAACGTCAGACGACGGACGAGTGGTGCAACCTTGAAAAAAAATACACTTGAGATAGCTGTAGTTGTGAGTGGTTCTCAATTTGTTATGAGATCTACATTCAATGTGGCGTGAGTCTACCTGTTTTTATCACAGGTTTTTAATGCCTGCTCTAAAAGCAGAGGCACTTGGGTGGCGGCAGAAATAAAACAGATGACTCGGCACAAACTAGCCCAGCGGCTAGCATGCGGACCACTACACCATCCCATGATCCCACGAGCCAGTGCGGCGTAGTGTTTGAATTATAATGGCAATAACGCACACTTTAATATAAAAAAAATACTTGAAAAATGACGTTCGAAAACTTTTAGACACATTTGTATATGCATACGTAAAATAAAAAAAAGACACAATTACAGCTTGGAAGACGAACTGAAGTCATGTCGTAGCCGGGCGCAGGGCAGTCACGAGAACTCCTCTTAATAGCCGAAGAGGATCCATTACTTGTAGAGCTCGGGAGCGGCGGCGGCGGCGGCGGCTCAACGTTCCAAGTGAATCGATCAAAGGTGACACCGAATGCCATCACGCGCAGGGTGGAACAAAAATAAATCACGAGCACGGCTCCTATTGCCGGCGATTGCTGTCCCCTTTGACGAATGCCAGCCGCTTTGCTCCAAGTGTCCCCACGCCCACGACTGTTGTCGCCCCTGGCAGGAGGAGAGAGGCAGGGACGGAAGATCGGCGTCTGTCGCGGCGGGGAGCTCCTTCGAGTCACGGCCCCCTCGCGCCGAGCGCGGGACCCAAACCACCGAGCCCACGCAGCCCGCGAACGTGCGTAACCTCCGCTCTCGTCCGTCCACGTGTCCCAAAAACCCGAAGGGGAAAAAAAACACCGCGACCGTTGAGACAACCACCACAGTTGTTCACACTTGTTTATCTTTCAGGGCAGGAGGGGAGGGGGGGGGCACCTGCCTCGAGTGTGCAGAGTTGAGCGTTTGTCGCGCCCCGTGTTAACATTCGTTGCGGTGGTATCTTGGAAGTAAGCCTTGACCCCCGTAATCTTGATAGCTTGGCCCACGCGAGAAAGGGTTTATTCTGGACCTTGGTGCTTCGAGCCAAACCTCTTTTCTTGCCTCTGCGCGTCTCAGAGGAGCCTTGAAGGTGACTTAACTTTAAGCGTCTCGTCCCTTGTTGTTTGCAAGTCTCTTCTGTTGCTGCTCCTGTGTAACTCCTTTTTCTCCTCCTGCCCTGCTTCCTCTGACTTGATCAAATCGTGCCGCCGTCAGAAGGCCACGGGGCCACGCAAATCCTTTTTGCCTGTGCGGACGGCACGAGGCCCGCGTCCAGACAAGCAGAGTGAGTGGTTCTGCAGCATCACTCCCCCCACCTCCTTCCTATCTCTCTCTCTCTTTGTCCCCCTTCTGTGGTCTTTTTTGTATTTAATGTTTACAGCCGTCACCTCCGTTTCTCCCCCCCCCCCCCCCCACTCTACTCGGCGATTAAAATAAAATGGGGGGCGGGCGAGGAGGGTTGGGGGCGGAAAAGAAAAACAAACGATGCCACAAGTTGGCCCCAGTGGGTTCACCTGAGAGGGGACGAAAATGGCACGGTCGGGTCTGGAGTGATTTCAGGAGGTGAAATTAAGCTGCCACAATTGATTGACTTCACCAAAGCCGCCAGGCGTGTCAGCGTGGCGATTAGACGCCACCGGCGGCTCGCGCGAGCGGGCCTAATTGAGTGTCGTCGATGGGACTTGTGAAGAAGAAAGACGAATGTTCGGACTCCTCATCTCGACGGTTTTTGTTGTTGTTATCCGTGTTGCGTAACCGCCGCTGCTGCTGCTGGTTTATTTCTCATTTCATTGTTCTCCACCTTTTGTTTTTCCTCCTCCTGTCGTGTAATCCTGCCGATTTCCCCGCTCCCCCCTTCCAGCCATTTTCTTCAGCGCAGTCCGAGTGCACAAGGTAAAGCGGTTGCACTCCTCGGCTTAGTTTGCCGTGATGTCCGCACGCGGGTTTATGCGGTGTGCATCCCCCCACCACCCCCCTGCCACCCCCCCCCCCACCCACCACCCCCCTGCCACCCACCATTGTCCCCTGTGTTGTTGCCCCCATTACCCCGCCTGGATTGCGGAGTCGATGATAGCAAGTGTGAAATCATGCGTAATGGGCCGTTTTTTGTTTCTGATACCAGAAAATTGGATTACATACGAAAGCCAGGTTAATTTATAGCCTGTTCTTATTAAGTTTAACTAAGATAACCTGAGGCGTTTTTTTTTTATCCCATTAATTTAAGAGCCTTGCCGACGGATATATATTTTTATCCTTTTTTTTTCTCAATAGAAATAGGAGCTCATGTGGAGTATAACTTGGCTGTACGTTTTATTTTTTGCACATCGACTTTTTTTCCTCCAAGACAGTGTCTATTTATTTTAGTTTTTAACGATGAAAGAAAACTGTTTTTTTCCACACCAAAAAAAGTGGCCGTGTTAAAGTTTTTTTTTTATTGATTTTATTTCATTTCAGACGTGCCGCCGCCCGACTACAGACACAGTGGCCAGCGTAGCGGCCACTTTGGCAGCCACACGGCCATCCGCGGGCCCCAGTGAGGCAGCTCGGCCAGACCTCCAGTTTGCCGATCGTTTTCAAGCTTCCCATGACGAATCCTCTGGACGCGTCGGGGACCTACTCGTCAAAACGGAACTCGTCGCGACTGCAGAATTGTCCCGGTCGCTGCAGCAGCAGCAGCAGCAGCAGCACGCATCCGACGGCCTTTACCGCTGTGGGCCCTGCAGCGTCCTTATTGATCGCGACGGCAAAACGGCGAGAGCAAAGGACTCGGGCGAGTGCAGGTCTTGCGCGAGCCCGCGAGAGCGGTTCTTTGAACCGCAGTCTCACTGCGGACCTTGCGCCGCCTCGGCTTCCGCCGCGCCGGGCGAAAGCGAGGCGGCGCCGGCACGGCCTCCGGGTGAAAGCAGCCGGCCGGTCGGCTCGTGCGACCCCGCACGAGGCGGGCCGGTCGAAGGCTTCCGCGCGGGAATCGCCCCCGTCGTGTCCCGGACGGCGGGGGCGAAGAACGGCGTCGACGACGCGTCGGTCGACCTCCGGAGGCACGCCGCCTGGGTATCGGTGGGCGACGGGCGCGGCGAACGCGCCGACTTCGCGGCCGGCGCCGCCGGGTAGCGGCCGCCTCGATAGCCCCGCGCCAGGCCTGTGTGCCTCGACCGGGAATGGCGAACCGGTTGACGGTTCGGAGGACAGATTTCCTGGCCCGCGGCGGGACGAACCGACGAGCGGATGGCAAAGCCAAACGGGGCGACCGTGCGACCAGATGCGAGGACTGGGTCACCTGACGTCGATCCCCATGGCAGGAGGAGGAAGAGGAGGAGGGGACTTGAGGTGCTTCTCATCACCGCTCCCGGGGCACTTAGCGGAATGGGTCTGCTCCGAAGGCGAGATTGCAGATAGCGGCTCGGGTATTGCGGTGTCTGGAGAAGGAAATTGCTGTCAACTTATCGCTCAAGACAAACCCGGTTTTGTTGTCAGTGTTTAATTCTCCAGATGCCTTTTTTGTAATCTCTCTCTCTCTTTACCTTCATGGGAATGAAGGTTGTTTTTTTTGTGGAGCTGTTTATTGGGGATATTGATTTTTGTTGATACGATACATAAAAGAAGGGCAGTGATCTACTTTAATGCACAATACATAAAGTACAATAACACACAGATTATGAGTACCACATTAATAACAATAGCCATAGCGGTGGCCTGCTTTATGTGGTGTACATAAGGTGTAAATTTTTCGACATTATATCACACACACGGAACGCAGTAGAGGTTAGAAAGTTGAATTCTCCAAAAAGTAGATTTGTGGTTCAGAAACACAAACAAATACACGCACGTACCCACGCCACTTGAATGCATCGTGTATTCTTAAACGAAAAAACCCAAACTCTTTGTACATATTATTTCTTGAGACAAATGTCCAAGGACATTTTGATGGCGTGAATAGAAGAAGACCTTTTAAACACTTGTGCTTTTCCAAGCGTTATCAAACAGGGGCGAGTGCTGGAAGACTCCGTATAGGAAAAACGTCGAGTGACAGGAATTACTTTAAAATGCATCGGGCGAGTCGAATGTATATATGAGATAAAAAAAAATCCACGTTTCTTTAAGGGTACATCTCAAAATATTGCACATTCCATTGTATTGTACAGGATAAGTAAACACTCTTACACTGGGTTTCTAATGACTGTAAACGATTGTTTTTGTTTGGTATCTACTTGTTGTGTGGGCACAATGCAATTTACATTGATGAGGGGGGTGGAGGAGGCGGTAATGGAGAGGCTTGGCTGGAGGTGGCCAATCGGAGAACAGCATTGTGGTGGTACAGGGTGGACAGCGGCAGGAGCTGGGAGTAGTTGCTCGATTCCGGCGGGGGGGGGGGATGGTTTCTGTGGAACCTTTCACTCATCACTCTATGGGGCATTCTCAGGCTGCACTGCGCATTGTTCGTCTTGATGTCCGACGTTTCACTCCACGTGCTTGGGAGCTCCATCAGTTCTCAAAGTGATTCTCCATGTGCCGGGGAGCTTGTTGAGGAACCGAGGAGTTGAACAAGGTCCCACCGAGCACGTGGCCGTGCCGAACATTGCGCTGTACAACCCGAAAACGTGTGTTGAGATGCAGAATGTTAATGTTGTTGCTGTGGCGAACTCCTCCATATCTCCACGGCCTGAGCGCGCTCCGCACCGCGTGTGGGTCTGACGTCCCCACGTGTTTGCGTGCGCAAGTGCAACGACGCCTATTTATTTGCACTTAAATATATATATTGCGCGCGACGTTGCCCCGTGTAAGGTCCACTTTTCTCCGCTCTTTTGGGCCGAAGCCGCTCGGGTTGGATGCAGACGAGCGGCTGTCTTGTCTGTCTGGGATGGCGGCGCGCGGTTGTGTCCCTGGACATTTGAGATGCGACGCCTTCCACCTTCCGTGCTGTGATCACGAAGTGTGAATCTTTCGCATCTTCGACCCATGCGCGTGCGTGCGCGTGCGCCTGTTGGCGCATAACGCTGCAACGAATGATAAACGCCGATTCCAGTTGGTTGTGCGGGACAGGTGGCTTCAATATGTAAAACAATATGGCCCACTTGAGAGTCATTTTTGTTGGTACGTTTTTTGAGTGACAGTAAGCGCACTGTGGATCGCGATGCTCGTGTGCGAATATGTACGGCTGCCTGGGTCTCGCACCGCATCACTCCACGGCGAATTGTTTTTCGCTTGTTACGCAGCGATATTTTATTAATATTTTAAGCCATAGGTGAACAAGCAAAACCGTGCATTGAATTACTTGATGAAGTACTGTGGGCAAGAACAGATGTTATGGGGTGTGTTGTGGTTGGTCTCTTTGAGGGCGAATATAGATTTAATTACAATGGGAGGGGTGGGTGTGGTCTAGCCGCATGCTTTTCCAGAACAAATTATAAAACGCCGCTCGCAAACACGGATGTCCAGCCCGCGATGCACAAGCATCGCGTGCATTCGAGGCATCCTCTGGCCTCGTCACAACGCGTGAAATGTAACGGAAGGTTTAACATGCAGCCGAAATGTAACAACTGTGAACGTGTTAAAAACCACAAAAACATCAATGTACAAATATAACAATCGAGGAAACTTTGCATCTCTTTTGTAAAGTGACCACGCGCAAGGGATGTTCCGTACAGGAGTCCTGACCCCCCCTCCCCCCAGCTCCTGATGTTATCACCACAGCGCTTGCGGGGAGGCATCTTCAAGCGGGGTGCTGTGACATCCCTTCGTTGCCAAGCAACTCCCAAGTGTGCCCGATGGTGGCCAACCTCTTCAGTGTTCTTCTCATCGTTGTGCACGCGGTGTGTGCGTGCGTGTGTGTGTGCACGCGCGCTTTGCGTTGCGGGCACGCGCGTGCAGAGTTTCTCGAGTGATTTCCACGCTGATGAGACACCGGAATCGCATCCCGCACGCGCTCCCCACGGGATGTGAGTGTGTGTGCACGCGCGTGCGCTGGCCGGCACCGCGCGCCCGGCCGCCTTTGTCTAACCAGTGGCGATGTTTGCTACACATCGCACCAGGTACTTATTTAAGGCTGAGTCGACCTAGGGGAGGCCCAGCACCGGTTCAGACAATTGTCACTGGCGTTGGCCGTGAGCGGGGAATCGAAGCCCGGTCGCCTGGTTCGTAACGCAGCGCGCCAACTGGTACGCTACCACTCGCCACGCACGCACATATGCGCGCGCACACACACTGGAGCGGATAACCCCCTACGGCCAGTTACGTGCAGCGGCGATAGTTATTTGTGGTACGCCTGTGCAATATGGGAGAGCGGTTGCACTTCTTGCAGCCGACAAAGGGAGGAGATAAACTATGTTGTGCTCGTGTAGGGTTTTTTTTAAACTACCATTCTTTGTTACCCGTTCTTTGTATCAGCAGCAGTGCTTTTTTGTGTCTAGTGGGTAGCTGCACATTTTAATCTTTTTCCAGTAGTATGTGATGGGTGTTTTATGTTTTTTACGGGATTCCCTCCATACAAGGTTCAAAACACTCTTAACTGATTTTATGCGAAGGTGTTGCTGATTGTTGGTACGGATAAAAAAAAACGTTCAATGGTTAAAGTTTCACCTGTGAAAAAATAAAAATGTCAAAGTCTGAATTTCACTCGTACGCAGTTCTGCTCATGTGTATACCATTTTGTTTGTGTTGGCAATTGTTTGAAAGCACACAATGGAAATGCATTTCTCCATGTTCACTATGACAACAAAAACCCCAACGCATTAATGCGTCGTTATGACAGCCCCTCAATCAAGATGCAGTGGCGATATGTTAACTACCACGCCTGGTATACACGAGGTCGTGGTTTCGATCCCGACCCTGACGCCTGCTGTATATTTGCGTGTTCTCTCTCCCCGTGGGTGACTGAATTGTTCTCCGGGTTCTCCGGTTTTTCCCTCCACATTTAGAAATATCCGTTTAGAGTATTTGGCTGCTATAAATTTCCACGTCATTTGTGGCCAGGTCACTTCTGAAAAAGAGCTATATAGCTCAGTGGACATTACCTGGTTAAATAAAAAATAGTTTCGTTAAGACCCCTCCCCAACCCTCCAAGGTTACCAGGGCCACGGCACATCTGAGAGATCACGTGTCCATTCCAGTCAATGTGGTGGGTTGGTGGGACATTCCACGTGAATTAAGTGTGTCGTTTAAATTTTGATTTAAAGCTTTCGTGACTGCAGTAATTCATACTCTTAGTTCTTTCGGTAAAGTCACGTTGAAGGGAAACAACAAAATAATAAAATATATAAAACAATAAAAATTCTCACGACGTTTCGACCATAACACAAACGGTCGTCTTCAGGTTGTGTTATGGTCGAAACGTGAGAATTTTTATTGTTTTATATATATTTTATTATTTTGTTGTTTCCCTTCAACGTGACTTTACCGAAAGAACTAAGAGAATGAGTGTGTCGTGTTTGTAAGGCACCTTGAATTGTCACAATTGATCGAACCACAAGAGGAGGCGAATCGTTAGGAGCCCAGTTAACAGTCCGTATAATAATATAAAATGTAGAATGTTTGTAACGACTGCAGATTCATCATCATCAAAGTCATGAATGGTAGCAATACTCAGGCGCTGTGCATTAAACCAGGCTGATGCTGCAACAGCATTTGAGGTCCCTCAATTGCTCTCCGGGTGCAGTTATAGTGGCAGGGCACCTGCCACGGCAGCTTCCTCTGACACGGCGGAGGAAAATGATTTGTCATTTTTGCTGCTGTGCAGAATTGTTGCGGACATTGGCTTTAACAAGATGGTGACTCACTGAATACGCCAGGGGCGGCGGCGGGGGTCCTATAAACATGTGGCACTCATTGTTGGGCGACTGTGTGTGATGTGGTCTCATGGACGACATCATGCCTTGGTACAGCGATGGCATTGCATCTGCTCGTCGGTGTTATGCTCGTGAACCTGGTGCTGCTCACCAGCAGATGGGGAGCGGTAGTGTAGCGGTTAGCGCGCAGCGCTACGAACCCGGCGCGAGCCGAGTTCGATTCCCGCTCACGGCCAGTCTCGGTCCTGGGGCCTCCCCTAGGTCGACTCGGCCTCAAATGAGTACCTGGTGCGGTGTGTACTCAATGCCGCTCGGGAGACAAAGGCTGCCGGGCGTGGTGCTGGCCACCCACCCACCTCGTTTACTCTACCGGCTTCCATGGGTGCACGCTTACAGCGCTTGCCCCAACAATCTGTTAAGGCTATACGGGGATCTTTGTCTTTGCGGGCCGTGGATCCGAGCACGCGATCAATTTGTCCACAATTCCTTTGCTGTCAAGAACTGCCGTTATAAAGAGAACGCATAAATATGTATAAATACACACCGTTTAGTCCAATTTATATTTCACAAGCTGGCCCTGTGTGTCAGTCACTTTGTTAAATGTACATCTGCTAAAACGAACTTGAATGCTCCGTGATTCGGAGCAAAGAAGACAGTCGTGCGGGTGGGGGGGGCACACGGTCGCCGCTGTGCAGGCTCAAAACTAAAATCCATCGCTTTCTCTCAAAATGTTCTTCCACTTCGGGTGAAGTACTGGGAAATCTGGCTTGTGGACAGGCAATCTATTTGCTCGCTTTTGTTCGCCGTGGCGACACGGCTGGTAATTATGTAAAATAGTTTTCGAACATATTTCGGAATTTCAAAATTATGCCTACGATTCTCATTGACGATTTTGCAATGAGCCTCAACGGTCATTATCGTTGCAATCATTGTAATAGGTTCACGGAGTCGTTCTTCGGAAACACATGGGTGTGATGTCACTCCCCCCACACTGCCCGCCGACCATCCCCAACCAGCACCAAAATCACAACTAAGGCTACCCAGGCCACAGTGCACAAAGACTTCACGTGTCCATTGCTCGAGTCAGTGTCGTGTTAGTGAGACATTTGGTTCACGTGCATCGGTGCATTTTGTCTTCGTAAGGCATTTGTTCCACCCTGTGTGCGAGCACACTTTGTGTTCGTTCGTAAGGCATTGTTTTCACGGTGGCGCTGATGTTACCCCCGGCACGTTCACATTCACTCTTGCACGGTATCCATGGCACGGCGAGAGCGGGGTGCTCCCCATGGTATTGAGAACTGCTCGGTTCACGTTTCGGGAAATGGGGCTTCAAAAAAGGCACGTGTCTCGTGCAGACGTGCGTTGTCTCTTTCTTATAGGCGTGCGTTGTGCACCACTGGCAGTGGAGTTCTTTACGTCACGAAATTATTTTTTAAAGTGCGCACGACGAGCGAAACAAAAGCGCGAGGCTAACAAAGAGAGTGCACGCCCGCTGAATAGATGCCCGTGGTTGTGGCCTTGTCAACAGTCCATTTAGAGACGCAAATTATGTCTGCGCCTGGGAGTTGAAGGCTCTGGCCATTATCTTTCTGAGAGGCCACTCTAAAATCAGAGGCTGCCTCCGCCTGCACTTGCAGCGTGTTCCCCATATTAGAGGGGTTCACACTCCGAAGTCTGTTTGATGTAGGGTTGAGAGTTGAGAAATCATGGCAGAGTAGGAGTCCTTCGTCTCTGCGGTAATCATCACGTAGAGTTTTACGTTTCAAAAGTTACATTTGGACGTAGATTGGCGCAGCTAACGTTCACGTTTCTGAGCTTCGACAAGTTAAACGTTCGTTGGAATATAAACCCTAAAAGTCGACCCCAGCACCCTGGTTAGCTTGCTGCCTGCGCTGTCACACATCACTCCCCCCCCCCCCCATCCATCCGCCGCAACCCTCGGGGAAGTCGTGCGACTCGAGGACAACAGTCGCCCTGCCCATTCACCAAAACCGCAACAGCGTCCCTCGTCGTCGCTTGAAGTCATGAAAGCCCCTTTGGCCCCATGCGATTAGCCGCAATTGCGAATTCAACTTCAACGAAGCCTGACGAGCTGAATGTAGTTCAAAAAGAACTCGCAAAAAAACACCTTGCTGTAAAAAAAAAACCCAACGCAGACGATCCCTGGGTATGATCTTCCACGAAGCTCATAGTCCACCCTAAACCGCATCCACCGCACAAACCGTGGCAGATGCGGATACCTGATGCACAAATGGAAGATTAAAAACTGTTCACTAGTGTTGTGCCACCGTGGTCATCCAGAACATGCAACGTATAACGATTCAATGCCCGATCCACAAATACGAAGGAGACTTCACAGCGATGATACACTACTCCACGACGCCTGCTGACGGGGTTACCTAGGCTTGACCACCTGCATGTGAAATTGTAGTTGTTGCACTGCATCTACATCAGCAGACTTTCAAATAAGGCGGTGAGAATATTTGCTCTGGCAACACGCATGAAGGTAGAGATGTTGAGCATATGTAGGGGGGGGAAGGAATATGCCAACAACTTTCAGCATTTAATTGAGGAATTAGAGGTAATTGCTATGAGAAGACATTGTACAAGCATAAACCGTATGAATAATCTTCTTTGGTTCTTTCGGTAAAGTCACGTATGACTTTACGTGACTTTACCGAAAGAACCAAAGAAGATGAATCATTGCAGTCACGAAAGCTTTAAATCGTATGAATAATCTCAGATCTGCTGATGCGACACAGTCATCAAAAATAACCAACGGATTTCAAAATTGAGGCAAATATTTAATAACTAAACAAAGACGACTGTAAAGTTGACCTCATGGTGAACAAAACGTCAGTCAGGGACACAAATGTAGCTGAACAATTGAAAATATCTTTCTAGAGGGATGCAACTGTAAAACACGTTGGGGTGTATATGCAGAGGGAAGATCAGCATCAGAATATTTACACTAGAGGAATCCAATGAACTACGCAGCTATTTTTCACAGATGTCCAGAAGGGGTGGGTAAGAACGTTACAACGATAACAGAAAGCGATAGTAGTGAGGAGTACAGGAAAGGTAAAAAAATCACACAAAAACATTCAAATATAACTAATCTAACCCCATCCTACTAGGCAAAGCCCATTGAGGTATTGACTTATTGTTCAGAAGCGACTTGGCCACAAATTGTAGCTCAACAAAGTGGCTTATGCGGATATTTATAGCAGTAAAATTATTTAAATAATCTCAATGCATGTTTCTTAATGTGGCGGGAAAACCCAGAGGACTCGGAGAAAAAATCCACGTGACTACGGGGGAGTGAGACATGCAAACTCCAAATATACAGCAGCAGGCGTCAGGGTCGGGATGGAACCCCCGACCTCCTGCATACCAGACAAAGTAGTTAACATCACACCACCGTCGCGCCCCTTAACTAGGTAAATAAAGTATATTAAGCGATGAACGAGAGTGGCTGAGAGTGGGTTGACCACCTAAAAACCCGAATACAGCTTTCCGATGGATAACACAAAGAGTTCATAGAGGAAGTTTACCTGCAACTCAAGTAGGGGGGGGGGGGGTAACTTTATTGTAAGATTCCCATCGTAGGAGAAGAGAGACAGAGGGGTAAAAATGAAGGCCCTTCTTTCCCGTGAGCACAAACAATTATCCATGATGCTTTCTGGCTGCGCCGAAGATGTATCTCTCTGGTGTGGTGTGGACAATGCCCTGCCCATAGTGGCTCCGGTTGAAAGGATAATTGACTGAGATAAGTCGACAACTCAGTGGTGTCTCAGAGGCCGGGCCCATTCGCAACCTAGGAGTTATTTTCAGTTC